GGGGGTAGTGAACCTCTGCGGGTTGCTTGTCTTCACCTCTGCGGGTGTCGATCCGATCTTGTCCGTTCTTGATTCTAAACGTACCTTGTTTTGGCCGATGCACCAAAATTGTGTCGATCGTTCAGTGGCAGCCGTTTATTGAGCGAAGAGCATTCTACAATATTTCCGAGCACTTATATACGTAAATAGACATTACAGCTGTTACAGATGCGTTCACAGATGGTCAACTAAAAACAGTACATGTGACAGGATAAGAACTAGAGGAATGTTAACGAATGAGGGTATGATGTGATACAATAATCGGATAATAAGAGAAGGGGAATAGAGAGGTCGTGGTTGACCACGGCAGTATTAAGGATTTTCTGTTAAAGAGTTAATAAACCCATGGCGTCCAAAATTGACGGTAAAGGAACAGCCCTGTAGTTAATGTTACAATGAGAATTGGAAAAATTTTCAAAGAGTAAAAACACGTCTGAAGAATACGAGCTCTCTCTTAGACAGAAGAATCACGTTAAAAGAGGCTAATCTTGATGTACTGAAAAAGCAAGCCTCCCCCTCATGATCGTGTCCTCGCTTGCTCACAACAACAGGTGTTAAGCTTGAAAGGCTTACTACGATGACTGGTTTATCAACATTTGTCATGTCCAAGTTGCTACAGATCTTAATTAAATTGTTCTTCAAGGGCTCTGACGGTACTCGGATTGTTCTCACTCAATCGTCATAATGTTCGTGCTGAGCGTCTACTCATGAATATCACCAATAATGTAATAATCCAATGAATAACCTATTATAACTTTGTTCCATTACAAATCTACTAGTATTTCACATAGTTGTTTCCCTTCCTATCGTAGAAAGAAACCTTTAACCCTTCCTATCGTAGAAAGAAACCGTTAACGCACAAAGCCTAAATCCAACCTTGTCTAGCAAGATAAACTTTCCTCGAAACGTTATCAAACAATGAAGTAGAAAACGTTAGTGCAGAGGCAACTATCACGTGGTTAGAAAAGTTAGAAATGGTTGGTTACAACACAAAATTATCGTAACACTCTTACTTACCTGTTACCAGTAACACCAAATATTTCGAAATCTTAACCTAGTCTATGTAATAAGGAAGGCACAAGGAACGAAGAACAAAGCAAATCTTCTCTAGCTCGGATCCGGAGCGGCTACATACTGCTTTTATCTCCGTTTAGCCTGTCCCATTGGCATCAAATTTCCAGATATCTACAAAGTAGGTATTGAGTTTAGATTTTTCTCCTATAAACATATCAAAAATCCCATTTCCATTCTATCAATGACAGTCTAAAAGGTTCAACTTTCAAGAGAGATGGATTCGTACAGAAGAGAGAATACATTACTGCTACTAATCCGTATCCAATCAACCTGAGAGTCTCACAAAAAACCTAGGATTATGATTTGGGGTTTCGGGATAGGGACTTCATTCTAATTGCTTGAATGGCACATAAAGTAAAACAAAGTAAAATCGTAAAACAAGCAGTGCTCCAAAAGCGGTTATTTTGATAGCGTTGATATCCTCTAGCCATGAGCCACATAAGCTGATTTTCATTATAAACCTTTATCGGAGTTATTAGTTTTCGCTCAAACCTCGCCCCCTGCAGGCGGAGTCTAGTCCTGACCTCTACCGTAAGTGCTCCCATCCTGTCGCCTGTATTCTTATCAAGTTTGAAATTCCTAGGTCCATAGAGACAGGAGTTACAATTTTCCAGAATGTTTTCATAAAGCATTGTACTTTTGGAGAACGCCGCAACCATCGGGGGCGGGTCTCCCCAGTTCGATCTAACCTACCAATGCACACCTCTAGCCACATTTAAACCCCAGTTTTGCAGCCGTCTTGTGACAGAATTTGAAATCATGATCATCGGCACAGCTCATTTCGATGCATGCCACGCCCACTGTGGGCGGGATTCCGCCAGCTGATGTGTGCTTTATACTTCTCGGGACATGACCCACCCATCCCACGC